GCATCGACCTCCGTTGTGCGTCGGTCGATACTCCCGCTGTACTGGCTTCATGCATATTTTGAATATACATATCCTCGTAATAACCTTATATTATTGAATACCTAATTATAATATTTTCTGTTTCAGTACGACTAACATGATTTATTAAAATGTATTTTTATATTTAAACGGAGTGATATTATTTTGTTTTATCTCTCTATGGTAAATACAAACACGCTTTTCATACAGAATATTTTTTTTTTATTTCAGACAATGTTGTTCCTCCTTCAAGGTAATAAGAATTATTATACATCTGTCACCGTAACGCCATATGTTACAGCGTGCCATAATTTTTGATATTTTCATCCTACTATTTAAGAAAACACGAATTCAAAATGATTACGCGCGTAAGCGTCCTCTAATAATATAAACAGACATGGCTGCCACCAGAGTTTGACCGGACTCCACACAAAGAATTTAGCTGATTGTTCGCAAACCATGGACATAAATACATGTTTCCATCGACGTCTTGGAAACATTACTTGATCAAGCCTGTTCTCCAAACATGTATACCGTATTCCGAACGGTGGATGTAGAAAGCACAAATTTGGTGTAGTGGTTTAAATTTAACACTGTAACGAAACAACACTGTATTGCCAATGATTTGTTTATATCTTATCTTAAATTGGGTTGTTGGATTGTTGACTCCAATTTTGAAGATAATCGTAATTGTATAAGAATTCAACAATGTATACTTTGTTTTATAACATCTTCTTTTTTTCCAGGGTTACAGAGTCCAATATATATGCCAACGAAGAGTTTTCAACTACGTCAATAAAAGAAACCCAATGCAAGGTACAAACTGCAGAGATTATTATACCATAATACATAAAAATTATATAATTATGTTTATATAACCGAAGTAATCGTGATTTTGTATTTGCTTATTCTTAAAGATAATTTATTAATGATACATAATAATTACATTTTTGCACCAGAATCATTGGACATTGTTTGGTATTTTGATTAAAAGGAAGTATAAAAACAAAATTCATTCATGTGATTTAATCAGTGCACAATGTTTGCATTTTAAATATCCTTGCAGCGTGTAAACTGCTCTAATTATATTGCCAGTAGGCATTTATTGCAGTACATCGTTCATATTGACAGATTGTGTTCTGTACTGATATTTACAGATCATATGACACGTGATCAACAAGAGCCCATCAGTAAGAATGAAAGTGTGAAACCTAGACCAAGAGGAGATGTCAAACGTAAAGTCTATGACAAGCCTGAAACATCTGCTAAAATGGCCGTCCTTGAGCGCACGTACGACAATCGTGCCTGGTGAGTTTGACGCCGAAACAAGGTAGTGGTTGTTGACGAAAATAAATATGATGAATCAAAATCATTTACAAAGGTTAGTTCCATGTTATGGTATTTGTTGATGTTGTCTTATATAGATTAAATGATAAGAAACACAGAGGTATAAAACATAAAATATTCTTTCCATTACAGGATGATCGTGTTAATGATATTGCCTACGCCGACTTAGATTTTGACGTACAACTAAATCTCGCGGCCAGTAGCAGACAATCGAAGCCAAACAAGTTTGCAGCTGATACTACGGAATATGCATCAATCGCTTTTACTAACGGAAAATAAGGCAGATCTGGATCTTCCATGTCGAAATTGACTAAAGCCAATGATGACTTTTTAGTTGTTATTGGCTTGTAATGCATTATTAAATAGATAACATTTCGAAATTTTAGGAGTAATATATATTTCTTCAGTATATCTAAAAAAATAATTATTGCCAGTAATACGACTTAGCACTCAATTGCCTGGGACAATATTGAAGACCTGATATTTGAGCATAATAATCGCCCTAATTTGCATAATACACATATCATTGAAATTTGGTACATAGATGCACTAGGGTAATCCACAGACGGGATCTGTTTAATGTTGAAAACCATTAGTATTGATTACCATTGTTCTCGTTTTTTGCATATAATAGCAGACCAATTTTGAACATGCTTTCACTACACACGACACCTGGGATTTCAATATAAGCTATATAATCTGTCACTTAGTACTTATATGTAGGTCATATTTCATGTGTTGAATCATGATTGAGTGATTATATATTCAACAAAAGATGTAACATATATAAGCAATAATAATATATAATGTATTCTTATATAGATTAACACGTTTTTTATGATTTATATGGGCATAGTATATCTAATAAAATATGTGAATATGAAATATGTGAAGCATTTATAGGAGTTTTGTTTTAGAAACAATTTGTTAACTAAGTCATTTAACAGGTACTTTTACCTTATCTGACCTGACCATAGACCTGTTCTATGTTTAGCTTAAACTTATCCACTTTGAGGTGCTGCTCGATCAACGCCATGACTAAAAACTGTGCGACTCAAAACGTAAAGTTGAGGTAAATAGGGTAACATAGTTTGTTTGCAGACAGCTGGAAGGGAAAGAAATTCAAATTCATAATGCATATTTATATATATAGTGTTACGTTCAGACGCTAGTACTCGACTCGTATCACAAATAAAACGCCCGAACGTAAGCAGTGTACAAGATAGAACGGTAGTATATTTTCAATGCCCTATTTAAATGTCACATAACTTTGTGTGCTATACCACACCTCAAACAAAAATGCTAGCAGTAACATTCAACCGAGGACAATATGACGTTTCAATAAAACACCAACTACAAATTACACAAATAATAAATACATAAAATAAACTCAAACGTAACAATAGTTTATAGTTTAAGCCAATTCATGTGTACGATTATACCCAAACTATTATTTGGGAAGGATATTATACAAAAGGGCTTTGTTATTGTTGTATATAGATATACGTTTATATACAATATTGATTCAACGCCAAAACCGAATGATGCACCACTTAAGCTGGCAGGTACCACATATAATTAATCTTAAAGCCAATAGTTGTCATCCAAACGGTGAAATGAATAATTTTACAACGAAAATACAGTGTAATGATTAAGTCAAACTGGATACAGCAACAAGAGCAGAACAGACGTTATTCGCAATACAATCATATGATGCAGGTCATGCAGATCTCATCGAAGAAAGGGGGCGCTGTTTCCTTCAATTTGTATATAGCGTGAGTGTGTAAATGAGCAATTTGTTTACACAGATCTCTCGTGCTATTAGAAAGACCTTCATAAATTCAACGTGTTTCAATTATCGTTCATATCTTTGGTAACCAGATTATGTACTTCCTTATAATAAGTAACCAATTACGTAGTGACATAGCATATCATCTCATGCAGATAACAGTGTGTGTTCTATATTAAACTTAAAATTGGTCACTGTTATATGCTGTTCATTAACTCTCGCAACGAAAACGGCGAGTATCTTTATGTCAAGTTTTGACTAATCGTGTCCAATAATCATACATAATCACAAGGATAATCGAAATGGAAAACAAATACTCATATTTACAATGTAGTATATACTATTGTTCATTAATATTATCATGTATGTAAGATATAACACACATATCTTGTTGTATATTGGACACAAATGATATACATACGCTGTTCATGGCGGTATATAAGTCGACTTTTACTCTAACATGGCATGTACATACAACTGTAATTAACCGATACAAACATCGTGGGAACCACGTAAAAAATTATAATGTATTGAAAATATAAATGAACATTCGAGATATCTGTTTCGTGCAACACTCTTTTCACGCGTAAAATGACTGAAACGCATGTTTGCATTATATGTCGTAAAACAGATTTTGTTGAGATACAGCTTAGATCAATTCATCGTAAACCATGGGCCTGTACAATAGAACAGTGATAATACCTTCTTTGTGGTAAAACAATGACAGCCTTCTTTATTTGTGTTACAATGTATGCAGCGGTTACGTAAATATGCGTAAATCACACACCATATGTGTACTTCGTGTACGGTATGCCAAATTCATGAGAGAATTGCCTATAATTACGAGATGCTAACAGCACACAGCAGTGTTTATACATGTAAATT